AGAACCAGAGAGTCACTGTTTATGCTACAGCAGATTTACTGTAGCAGTATTACTGTAGCAGCTGAGAAATTTAAAAGCCACTGTAGCAGATCGGTTACTGTAGCAGCTCGGGAATGGCACTGTAGCAGGCGAGTTACTGTAGCACCCCAGAAAATTCAAACCGGGATAGTTTAAAAACGGCGGGAACACTGTAGCAAAAAAAAAAAAAAAACACCGTGCTGCGCACGGGCTGCACACTAGTAAAGAAAGAAAAGAAAAAGAAATAGAGAGAAAATTATAACGGGAATTTGTGCTACTATTTTCTCAATAGTGTTATTTTGGGCAACCTTCTTTATCTGAGCAGAAGCTCTCGCTCGAGTACAGAGGCCGGCCGTTTTCGAGGGCTTTTGCCATTAGGGTGGTGGGAACCATTTGCGTCAGGACGATAGGCCGGTTCTCAATCTTCTAGGACAGTGATTACACGACTACTCCCGTCAGGTCTGATTTTTCTTATCTCTTACTTATTTAATTCGGATTTTATTTTATGTTATAATCTTGATTTACAGATTTCCAATAAATTTTTTAAGTAAGAAATAATAATTTTGGGATAAAAAAAAGTAGAAGTAATGGTGGGCGGGTGGTGTATGTCGTGTCTGATTGATGTATGTCGTGTCTGATTGATCACCGAGGTACACTTGCCCATTAAGAATATTATCTTCAAAGAGAGCAAATACTATAAGCAAAGTACTAAATAACAAACATATGACAATATTTGAAGCACCGGATCAATCCAATCCCCTAGCATTCACATTTATACCCTTTCGATATAATCACATTTCCATATTTTCTAAGGAATGGATCTTGCGTGGTCGGATGCCGTAAGACCATCTCCAGCAGGAGGTGAAATTTCACCTCCTTCTCTCCTGCCACATCACTTTATTTAATTCAATAATCTTCATTTCCCTATCAACTCTACAGCAGGAGATTTTTCAGAAAGTTTTTTACTTTATTTGGGACCCACCATAAACCACTTCACTTCAACATATACCTCACCATATTTATTCATTCTTTTTCCTATTTCATATATATTACTATTTTATTATTATTATTATTATTATAACTCATATATTTATAATTATAATTTATTAATAATTCAATAAATAATATATAATATTTAAATATATATTATTAATTTAATTTTCAATAATATTTTTATGTTAACATAAAATAACACACGATTTTATTAAGCATACGGAAAACCAAACACACCCAAATTATTGAAAACATGCCAGAAAACACACTAAATTGGTAAATCTAATCGGAGGTTGTCCCAAACTTCTGCCAAATGTGCTCGATGAGATCCTTCTTCAGCTGAATATGTTGGGTCTTATCTCGTAGTTCCGCTCTAGTCTGATTATCTGCCTCAGATCGGTGTTGAACATGGACTTGAAACTCCGGCAACACGTCTGTTTGAACATTAAAAGAGGCGCTAGAGCTAGCATTGTTCGACGGTTCAAAGTCGATATTTTCCCAGTTTCGCGAATACGTATCTCGTTCATCCTCTACTATCATGTTATGTAAAATAATGCACGCCCTCATTATTTTTCCTAAGACATCAAGATCCCACATTCTAGCTGGTTGGCGGACAATAGCGAAGCGTGCTTGGAGTACCCCGAATGCGCGTTCCACGTCCTTCCTGCATGATTCCTGTTGTTTGGCAAAAAATTGATGTTTGTTGCCTTAGGGCATTTGAATTGACTGCACGAAGACAGGCCACTTAGGGTAGATTCCGTCGGCAAGATAGTATGCAAGATTATACTCCCGCCCATTCACGGTGAAGTTTACACGTGGAGCTTCACCAGACTCAATGTCGTCAAAAACCGGTGACCTATCTAGTACATTTATGTCATTCAAACTACCAGGAAGCCCTGAAAAAGCATGCCATATCCACAAATCATATGACGCAACTGCCTCGAGGATAACTGTTGCCGTCCCCTTGTGTCCACTAGTAAACTGCCCTTGCCAAGCCTTAGAAGCCCTGAAAAAGCATGTCATATCCACAAATCATATGACGCAACTGCCTCGAGGATAACTGTTGCCGTCCCCTTGTGTCCACTAGTAAACTGCCCTTGCCAAGCCTTAGGACAATTTTTCCACTGCCAGTGCATGCAATCAATACTTCCAATCATCCCTGGGAATCCACGTTCCTGTCCAACTTGGAGCAACCTCTGCAAGTCTTCCACATTTGGTCGTCGTAAGTATTCATCTTGAAACAATGCTATTACCCCTTCGCAAAACTTGCGAGTACACTCGATAGCAGTGGATTCTCCTATCTTGACGTACTCATCACAAGCATCGGCTGCGACTCCATATGCGAGCATGCGTATGGCAGCCGTACACTTCTGGATAGGCGTTAACCCAAGCTTGCCCGCATTATTGCGCCGTTGTGTGAAGTAATCGTCGTAATTTGATATAGAGTCCACAATTCGTAGAAAGAGAGGCCTTTTCATTCGATACCTGCGTCGGAACTGGGCGTCAGTGTAAGTGCATGACTCGGCAAAGTAGTCGGCCATGAGTCTCTCATGCGCTGCATGATGATCTCTATGTATGGATTTCCTCTTACGTGGTTGTTCGCTTCTCCTTTGCAATTCTTTAAGAAGTTCTCGCTGCCTATCAAGTATTTTTTCTTCTATTTCCCATTGTTGTTGGAACTCTTCTAGACTAAACTCATTTAGGAAAGGATCCATTGGATGCTATGATTTTTGAAATGTTGATAGGTATACTTATGATGTGCATCTGATCAGTTTATATAATGAAGGGTAGTTGTTCAAATAATTGAATTCACATGCAATTGCAGAGACATGTGTCATAGGGCATGCATGTGCAGAGAGTTGTCAATTCATATTTTGTATTATTATGCAGGTGTAGTCATTTCATCCTTTGTATTTTTTGCAGTGAAAGGTCAATTCAACATTTGTTTGTTTTTGCAGTGAGTAGTAATTGTATCTTTTGTACTATTATGCAGTGAGAAGTCATTATCAATCGGCTTTATTGAAACATAAACAACAATTTTATTCAAACATAAACAACACTTTTATTAATACATTCAACAAACATAGGCACCCACACAACTCCAAAATTAAACAAACGGCACACAAAAACATCAGAAAGAAAACACACAATCATAACTTCTTGAGAAGGTCTTATTTTCCAAACAGGTTCTTCCTCAACATATTATAAGCTTCTTCATCTTCATCGTCACGATCTGGTTTGTTTTTCAAGAATAACCACATCTCCATATTCTTGGAATGAGCCAGGTTATTCATAGCTGAAGCAGTACTTGATCTTTTCTCTTCAAATTTTTCATGAGCACTGACTAGCTTAGATAACTCCTCCTCAATTGCCCCCTTTGATTTCCTTGACACAGATGTTTTACTAGAGGAAGCTCTAGCTTTCTTCTTTGCCACGTCCCTACCCTCTGGACGTACAAGGGTAGGAGTTGATGATTCAACATCCTCACCACTACTCTTTCTTTTAGAGCCACTACTACCGGATGCATTTC